TAATGGTGGGTTCTATAGCTAGTGATAGAAAATGGTATATTATTCAATAATGCGAGTAGAATACTATACTTTGTCCACGACTACTATTGTCTTTGATATATAAATTTATTTTAAATAACTGTATTATCATAACTTATTAGACATTAAGAAAACTAAATATTATTGATACCTGTTATATCAATTATTTGTCCACGACTGTTGTACTGTTGTACTGGTGTGAAAAATGGCTATCGTATTGCATGAGGAAGTACAGTGTGTCCAGTTTTCGATGCTTTTGCATGATATCTCAGTTATCTTTGGAGATAGAGCCTTGTGGTTTTCACGGTCCTGTGCCACTTTTTTGTGAAACTCAAGATGGCCCAATCAGATTTTGCAGGACTGTTTCCGTTTATGAGATACAGGGCGATTTTGAAAATTTATACTTTCTGGACCCCCTCTATATCTACGAAGCTTAATAGCGAAAATGTCAAATTAAAATCTTAACCCATAAAGAATTTCATGCAGAATCCAGTGGCGCACTAAAAATTTTTTTTCGGGGTATGGTTTTGAAGATACGACTCAAACTTATGATTTTTTAAATTGAACACCCTGTATTTTATAAGCTCATTAAATTCCTTATTTTTTTCCCTTCGAAATGGTATATGATGTATTAATATAACATTTTCAAAAATGTTCAAAAATCACTAAAACATTGAATTTTAATAGTGGGCTATGGGTTTTATTTACAATTAAAGGAATATTTCCTTTGATTGTTTCATGAAGGGGGAAATAATAATTTCAACACTAATTAACTTGCAAAACACAAGACTTAGATACCTGATATCCACAAATATATAGTAATAAAAAGTTTATAATGTAGAATTAGCACCTATAATTGAATATTTACTAAAACAATTAAATTTCGAAATTATTCAGTGATTTATTCATTGAATTGTTCAAATTGATGTCCATTTTCCATCACAAACTCTCTCAATACATATAAATCATTGAAAGATGTCTTTGTAATTCCTGGAAAACTGCCTCTGTTGTTGCACAAAGTTCTTCAAGTATGTTGGGCCACTCACTGTATTAAGAAGTATTAAGAAAGTTTGTCAACTGTATGTTAGGGAAAATGGATATCAATTTAAACATGTCTATGAATGCGTTACTGAATAATTCCGGAATTCAATTGTTTTAGAAAATATTTAATCAGGGGCTTATTCTACATTATGAACTTTTTATTACTATTTATTTATTTGTTGCTATCAGGTACCCAAGTTCAGTGTTTTGTACATTAATAAGTGTTGATATTGGTTTTGACCTCTCCATGGGAAAATTTGAAGAAATATTTCTTCAATTGGAACGTTTTTTATAAGAAAAATCCATAATCAACTATCAAAATTCAATATTTTTGTGATTTTGAGCAATTTTGAAAATTTTATATTCATTCGTTATATATCATTTTGGAGACAAAAAAATAAGGAATTTAATGAGCTTATGAAATACAGGGTGTTCCATTTGAAAAATCATAAGTTTTAGTCGTATCTCCAAAACCATACTCCGAAAAAAAAATTAAGTGCGCCACTGGATTATGCGTGAAATTCTCTATGCGATAAGATTTTGATTTGACGTTTTTGTTGAGAAACTTCGTGGATATAGAGGGGGTCCAAAAAGTATAAATTTTCAAAATCGCCCTGTATCTCATAAACGGAAACAGTCTTGCAAAATCTGATTAGGCCATCTTGAGTTTCACAAAAAAGTGGCACAGCACCGCGAAAACCGCAAGGTTCTATCTCCAAAGATAACTGAGATATCAGGCAAAAGCATCGAAAACTGGACACACTGTACATGTACTAATATAATAAATGTGAATGTAAGTTTGTTTTTCAGGCTTTCACGCCAAATAAAAATTTTGTATACATATTCTAAGATGTATTAGAAAGGGTATAGGATACTTTTAATGAAAAAAAAGAAGATACATTTTCACGACGGGTAAAAACAAATAATTTTGGCGGACACCAAATATCCAACAATCAGACATGAAACTCTATACGTCGGTACCATAGATATAAATTATTAGAATACGTTATTTGGGACTGGTGAGTCTCTGATTATCTTGATTATGACAAATATGTCACCAAACATCAGGTGTGCACTACGAAAGCGCAAATTAATTACTGATTTTGCTATTCAGTGACTTGACCACGAATGATATTGACGTTCGTCTTCTGCGCAACCAAAATGCACGATTCAATACTACCTGAATTAGTCCATCTACAGACAGGGCACAACAAATAACTTATTTTGTTGTAGTGAATTACATGTTTACTTTTGTTGTAGTTGATACTTTCAATGAAGCATGTTTTCAGTTTTTGAAGGACGAAACACGGTCTATTATAGTCGAGTCTGCAAATTGATAGCCAAGGCTAGCAATCAGGCAAGACAATAGACAGTTCTCTGCCGAGGTGCATACTACATTTTTTCGTCGACCTCACATTTATATTCACATAACAGTACTGTTCACACGTGAAATCTATCGGATTTCGTGAATAAGTAATTTGACAACAGCAGCGCGGACCAGGGTCGCATTTTTCTATTTTTATTCCATCAGTAAATACCGAGGTAAATACCTTGTCAAAAATTCAGTTTCAATAGATCTGTTTAAGATCTATTTCATGCTAAACGAATTCCAAGAAAGGATAATGAAGTAAACATATGACATCAAAACATTATGTACTTTTAGTAAACAGAAAAGTAACCTATTTGCAACAAAATAGAAACAATTGAAACAAACAAAACAAACATTCTCATACAAAGGTTATCATATTCCTGATTCTCAATAAAATACTCACACATATCATAATATACAGTTACATAGGTACTTATAAGATTTGAGTATATAAAAAACAGGAACGAATAGTGAGAATGAACAAGGACAATATAAAAACAAATAAAAAAATTGAACGTGAGAAACTGAGGTATATAAAAAATTGAGTATTGTCTTTTCTTGGTTGATACATTAGTACCTATATGTACAGTGTGTCCAGTTTTCGATGCTTTTGCATGATATCTCAGTTATCTTTGGAGATAGAACCTTGCGGTTTTTGCGGTCCTGTGCCACTTTTTTGTGAAACTCAAGATGGCCTAATCAGATTTAGCAGGACTGTTTCCGTTTATGAGATACAGGGCGATTTTGAAAATTTATACTTTTTGGACCCCCTCTATATCTACGAAGTTTATCAGCGAAAATGTCAAATTAAAATCTTAACCCATAGAGAATTTTATGCAGAATCCAGTGGCGCACAAAATTTTTTTTTCGGGGTGTGGTTTTGAAGATACGACTCAAACTTATGATTTTTTAAATTGAACACCCTGTATTTTATGAGCTCATTAAATTCCTTATTTTTTCCCTTCGAAATGATATATGATGTATGAATATAACATTTTCAAAAATGTTCAAAAATCACTAAAACATTGAATTTTAATAGTGGGCTATGGGTTTTTCCAGGGATTTTCATATAAAGAAATTTACAATTGAAAGAATATTTCCTTTGATTGTTCCATGAAGGGGGAAATAACAATTTCAACACTAATTAACTTGCAATACACAAGACTTAAATACCTGATATCCACAAATATATAGTAATAAAAAGTTTATAATGTAGAATAAGCACCTGATTGAATATATACTGAAACTATTGAATTTCGAAATTATTCAGTGATTTATTCATTAATTGTTCAAATTGATGTCCATTTTCCATCACAAACTTTCTCAATACATATTAATCATTGAAAGATGTCTTTGTAATTCCTGGAAAACTGCCTCTGTTGTTGCACAAAGTTCTTCAAGTATGTTGGGCCACTCACTGTATTAAGAAGTATAAAGAAAGTTTGTCAATTGTATGTTAGGGAAAATGGATATCAATTTGAACATGTCAATGAATAAGTTACTGAATAATTCCGGAATTCAATTATTTTAGTAAATATTTAATCGGGTGCTTATTCTACATTATGAACTTTTTATTACTATTTATTTGTTGCTATCAGGTACCCAAGTTTAGTGTTTTGTTAATTAATAAGTGTTGATATGGGTTTTGACCTCTCCATGGAAAAATTTGAAGAAATATTTCTTCAATTGGAACGTTTTTTATAAGAAAAATCCATAACCAACTATCAAAATTCAATATTTTAGTGATTTTGAGCAATTTTGAAAATTTTATATTTATTCTTTATATATCATTTTGAAGACAAAAAAATAAGGAATTCAATGGGTTTATGAAATACAGGGTGTTTCATTTAAAAAATCATAAGTTTGAGTCGTATCTCCAAAACCATACTCCGAAAAAAAAAAAATTAAGTGCTCCACTGGATTATGCGTGAAATTCTCTATGCGATAAGATTTTAATTTGACTTTTTGTTGAGAAACTTCGTGGATATAGAGGGGGTCCAAGAAGTATAAATTTTCAAAATCGCCCTGTATCTCATAAACGAAAAGTCTTGCAAAATCTGATAAGGCCAGTTTGAGTTTCACAAAAAAGTGGCACAGGACCGCGAAAACCGTAAGGTTCTATCTCCAAAGATAACTGTGATATCCGGCAAAAGCATCGAAAACTGGACACACTGTACATTAATTACCCATTTTTTGAAATTAATTTTAACAGACCGTGTAATTCATAAGTGTATGTGATTAACTAAAGATTAATAATAATATGGGTAATTATAATAATAAATACGTGTCTAAATATTTTTCAGTAAATTATGAAATGTTTCAGTAAATCAATATGCAAATCAGGATGTCTATTGAAAATTCAGTAGAACTGGCAACCATGCAACGGACGAAGTGTTTGCGGACGAAAAGTTAGTGTCTGCGGACGAAAAGTACTTGCCTTCGGAAATAGTCGGTTATTTTCGAACGGAAAATAATAAGTAAAATGTGATTTTTTGTAGAGGTCGACGAAAAAGTTTATTCAGTACCTACTGAACGAACGCACTGCATATGAACCTTATCGAACACCCTGTACCTTGTGCCATTTTATTCGCGCTGGAGGTGTTGGGCAGTTCGTCGTCGATGGCGGGAAGAAGGGCCGCTGATCTCGGACTCAGCAAGCCGTTCTGATGCTGATGCTGACTGATGATGGCCCCGTCTGCTGATGCTGCGCTCGTATGGATGCTGCCATAGTCGACGAACTTGGGCTCCAATATCATTCTGAAAAAAAGGAAGAAATTGCGATTATTATAACAGTATTGAATCTCCGCCGTGTTGCCACAAAGACATAAGTTTTTATTTTTCACTTGTCCATTACTGGTTTATATTACCTAGGCAATGGTTGCTATTAACAGACCTATAAACGCCCAGGGCGTTAGGGAGGGCATTATGAATCATAACGCCCGCTAATTGATTTTTTCTGTAGTTCAAGAAATTATATATACAGTGTCTTTCAAAAGTATCGGAACGGTCTCATATTTCAGGAACGGCTTGAGAAAAATTCACGAAATTTTCTACAGGGTGATTATTGATGATGCCCGATTCAATGGTGGCATCGGCAATATTGTCAAATTTACAGTTTTTCAGATATTAGGAGTAACTTCATTTTTTCAAAATGGAATACCCCATCAATTTTTATTGCAGTTAATTAAGCGCCTCCTAATTACTCGAGTCCCTGAATATCAGATTCGTAATTGACGTGATTTTCGAAATATGACAACATAGCATTTTCGTTATAAAGTTCTGGAACGGTCCCATATTTCAGAAACGGCTCAGAGAAAATTTATGAAAACTTCGACAAGATGGTTGTTGATGATGACCGATTCAATGGTGATATCGCCAATGTTGCCAAATCAACAGTTTTTCAGATATTTAGGGTAACTCAATTTTTTCAAATGGAATACCCTATTTGTTTTCATTGCAATACATTCAGCGACGCCTCATTACTTATGTCTCCAAATATCAGATTCTGAATTGAAGTGGTTTTCGAAATATGACAACATGGCATTTTCTGATATTTGGAGACCTAAGTAATGAGGCGTCGCTGAATGTATTGCAATGAAAACAAATAGGGTATTCCATTTGAAAAAATTGAGTTACCCTAAATATCTGAAAAACTGTTGATTTGGCAACATTGGCGATATCACCATTGAATCGGGCATCATCAACAACCATCTTGTCGAAGTTTTCATAAATTTTCTCTGAGCCGTTTCTGAAATATGGGACCGTTCCAGAACTTTATAACGAAAATGCTATGTTGTCATATTTCGAAAATCACGTCAATTACGAATCTGATATTCAGGGACTCGAGTAATTAGGAGGCGCTTAATTAACTGCAATAAAAATTAATGGGGTATTCCATTTGAAAAAATGAAGTTACTCCTAATATCTGAAAAACTGTAAACTTGGCAACATTGCCGATGCCACCATTGAATCGGACATCATCAATAATCACCCTGTAGAAAATTTCGTGAATTTTTCTCAAGCCGTTCCTGAAATATGAGACCGTTCCGATACTTTTGAAAGACACTGTATTTTTCCTACGACCACCTATGAAAACAGCATAAAACACACCACTTTGTTATTTATAAAGTAGCTCATGTCATCATAGTGATGCAAAAGTTCGAAAGTAATTCTCACGTGTGTTGAAATATTAAAAAAAAATCACGCTCACCACACAAGGTTCAGGAAGGTATATGATGTACTTACTTGGTAAATGAATCACTATATGTATTTATTATACGTCCATTCAAATACATTCATTTTCATTAGTTTATAGTCTTTATCATTTCGCATCTTGATCAAGTTTATGTTTCCTTTTTCATTCATAATAAATTAATAATTCATAATTATATCGCGAGACATAACCTCGTTGCTGTCTACAACAGCGCTTGGGTCATCTATCGGGTAAGCTTGTAACTGCTAATGTTAATGTTAAGTTATTGTTAAATCAATGTTGATCTAATGGTAGGTTGATGTTAAAGTAATGTAAAGGTAAGTTAAGTTATGATCAAGTTAATGGAAAGTTAGTGTCGATTTAACATGAGTTATTGTCGTTGATGTTGACGTAATGTTAAGTTGATGAAAAGTTGAAATCGAGTTAATTTCAATTGAAAGTTGCATTAATGTCAATGTATTGGCAATTTAGTGTTTAATGTGAAGTTAATGTCAATTTGATATTGAGTAAATGTTAATTTGATTTTGAGGTAATGTTGAGTTAATTTTGAGTTGATGTTGATTTAATGTTGAGTTAATGTAGAATAAATATTGAGTTAATGTTGAGTTGATGTTAAGTCAATGTTAGGTTAATTTTAAGTCAATGTTAAGTTGATATTGAGTTAATGTCAAGGTAATTTCAAGTTACTGTTAAGTAGCTGTTGAATTTATGTTAAGTTGATGTAAAGTTGATGTTGAGTTGATGTGAAGTTAATGTTGAGTTAATGTCAAGTCAATGTCAAGTTAATGTTGAATTAATATTAAGTAAATGTTTAGTTAACGTTAAACTAATGATGTCATTTAAATATTGAAGTGAAATTAAATAATTATGATGATGATATCACCTTCATGTGATCGAATATGATTAGACACATGATCCCTACTCTGGTCTTATAAACACTCATGACAATGACAATTACATGTCATATAATATAAATATTTGTGGTCGTAGGAAAATGTGTGTACAAAACTCGTTGGAAAGTGCATTTCCTGAGCTAGTTTCCTTTCCGCACTCGCCGCTCTGGGGCTAAACCTCCACTCGCGCGAAATATGTCACTTTCCACACTAGTTATGTAATATACAATTTTTTATGTTCTGGTTCTCACGAAAAGGGATATCCTGTAATGTTCAAAGAACATCGTGAGAACCAAGGGAAATAAGGTAGGAATTGGTGTTCTTGAATTTCTGGATGTTATATGTATCGGGGAACACTTCCCTTGGCAATGTGTTCCAGAGCCTCGCTGTTCGTTGAATGAACGAGTCCTTGGAAAGAGATGTTCTGCAGGTCTCCAAAGTGACCACGAATGGGTGCGAAGCCTCAACTCGACGGGTTAATCTCGCGGGGACTGCCAAGGGAGGAACAATTGTTGATATTTCAGAAGAGCATCGTCCATAAAAATATCTATGAAATAGAGCCAGATCGCCAACTTTTCTACGGTGTTCCAGAGAAGTGGGTGAGTTTGTGAGCGAGGCATCACCCACGAGACGAATTGCCTTTTTTTGGACAGAATCCAACAGTTTCAGGGTATATTTGGGTGCTGCACTCCAAATATGGGAACATTATTCCAGGACAGGTCGGATCTGTGCCTTATAGATAGATATAGAAGCAGCTGACTGGAAGTGATATAGCTCCTGGCCCGAAACAGAAAACAAAGTTTTTGGGATGCGCTTTTAGCAATTAATCTCACGTGATGTTCTCAAGAAAGGTTATTGCTGATAGTAAATAATACCAAGCATCGAAATGGATGTCTTCAAAGGTATGTTTACTCCTGACAAGCTTATGTTGGCCACAGTGAGATCGGCTTTTCTAGAGAAAAGGCATGCTTGTGTTTTGTTTGCATTGAAATCTATCAAGTTATTGGATCCCTATTCGAGAATTGTTGCCAAGTCCATATTTATGTTGTCAACATTTCTCCCTCATTCGTTTCTGATTTGCCTGGCTGGTATTGGAACCCTGGAAGAGAAGGCGGTATGGAGAGTACTATCATTCACGAAGCTGTGTACTGGACAAGAAGTTGCTTCCAACAAATCGTTAATATGGAGTAGAAACAGTGTTGGTGCTAGAAATGATCCATGCGGAACACCAGCAATTACGATAAGAGAGTCAGATGAAACTCCGTCGACCACTACATGGAGAGACCTGTTTGAGAGAAAACTTTCCATTGTAATCAGAGAAAAAAAGACTTCAAAAATGCAAAAATCCAATATGGCGCCCACAGAAAAAACAAAGTTGAGTGTTGTAACTTTGGAATCAAGAACGTCATGGAAAATACAATGACAGATTCAGATTCCTTGTGAAAAAGTGCCTTTAGAATGTTCCAGTCAGAAACGTCTAGGTTTTTTTGGTTTCCGCTCGAAAAAATAAAAACGAAATTATAAATTTTTGTTTTCTTCCAATAATATAAAACTAAAAATGACATATCAAATATCCTGGCTGATAAATGTTCAGCATGAAAATGCGCAACTTTGCCTAATTCAACCGACCTCGTATTACTTATAATAACTGAAATCCCCATGGTGGAGCTCGAAAACCGGACACAGGGCGTAGTTCAATCATTTGAATTGTTTTAAAGTGGCATGCTTCGTTTTTTTCCTTTTTTTTTTCAATTGTCGAGATGAAATTTCTCGCTAATTAGATGAATTAGAAAACATCCAAGCAGGTAATAATCCCAAGAAGCAGTGGCAGTTCATAAATTCTCTAATTAAAGGGCGAAAAAACATTTAGAAATAGAGGCAATTGAGATAGATGACACTCTCATAACAGATGAGACAGAAATTGTAAATGCTTTCAACTCACATTTTTCAAATGGAGCGCAAGGTGTCAACATAGATGATAAGAATGACGTTTTAACATTGATGTATGCTGATGATCTCGTTATCTTGGCTCATTCTGAAATCGATGTTGTTAGGAAACTCAAAATTCTGGAAAAATACACTACAGAAAACGACTTAACTGTCAACCTTAAGAAAACTAAAATAATGCAATTTTCTAGAGGTGGGTTTCAAAAACCAAACTTCAAATTTCACTTTGCCAGCCATGTAGTAGAAGTCACCAATAAATATAATTATTTAGGAGTAACTTTCACATCATCTGGTCTCTTTCATGAAATGTCCACTTTGACCAACACCAAAGGCAAACAAGCTATTGGTTCTATTTTGCCTATTTTGTCTAAGGCTAAAATTGATACCTGGCCACCAAGGTTAAAGTTATTCGAATCATTAACTTTAAGTGTTATGTATAACTGCGTGTCAGTTTGGGGTCTCAGATATCTTGAAGTGCTTGAAAGAGTTCAAATATCCTTTCTTAAAAGAATTCTTTTAGTTTCCACCAATACACCCGATGCCATTGTTCGCTTAGAAACTGGGAGGGTGAAACTTGCTTATTGTGCTTAAAATATCCGTGAACTGGATTTGCAAAATACTGTCCATGGAAAAACATCGATACCCAAGGCTTTGTTTTGAACAGCAAAGGCGTATTATAAATTACGCGTACCCTAAATATAATTGG